TTTCTTTCTTTCTTTCTTTCTTTCTTTCTTTCTTTCTTTCTTTCCTTTTTTCTTTCCGTCCTCCCTGTTCCTTTTCTTTCCTTCTTTCCTTCCTTCCTCCCTCCCTCCCTCCCTCCCTCTCTTCCTTAATCTATTTATTCAATTCATATGGCTACTTATCTCAACACATGACTGTGTGGTGAATTGCTTGAAATAATTGCAAGGACTACAAAAATTGAAATGCATAGCAGCTGAGAATCAATCATATACCATAGTCACTAATATAACCAAGAATCTGCCCTGTGCACATTCTCAGGTTCCCAGGATTGGGCACAGAGTCCTTTGAGGACTTAAAGAAAGGCAGAAGGGCCGGCTGTTCCTAATATTTGGAGGGAGAAATTCCACAGAGCAGGTGCTATGACAATAAAAGTATGTCTTCTATGCCCTGCCAACTCGTAGCCCAACATCCATCCTCCCTGATCAAATCAGATGGGTAGAAACAATTGGGAAATGATGGTCCCTCAAGTAACTCAGTATTCTAATCTTCTTACCTGGTGTAAAATAACCAGTTTCTAGTTTACTTTAGCTGCATGTTGTTCTGTGTATTTATCTAGGGAAATATTCTTCATAGGGAAGCCATCACTGTGCCATGCACTTTGTAGAGGGATAGAAGGATTTTTTTTATTGAAAAGCTTTTTTTAAAAAAATTGAATGGCTATACTTCTTCTTATAATGATGCTTCTGAAGGCAGGAGCCAGCAACATTAGAACCCAAGTGCATTGAATTCTGAAAGAGCTGCAAGAAGTACATAGATGTCAAACTGTAATAGCAGGATTAATTTTCTTGCAGCCTTTGATAGAGAATAGCAGATGCACAACCAGATTGTCCATGTATTGATGAAAAGATTGGAGGATGTGCCCTTTCAATCTGGCTATTGAATGGAGATAGGTAACTGAATAGCTTTTTCATTAGTGAGGTCACCTATTGATTGCTTCAGGTCCATAAAAACAGAAGTGCAGGATACAAAGCACAACGACAAAGAAAGGGAAAGGAAAAAAAAAACCATGGCTGAATGGGAGAGAATGAAGTTACTCAAGTTAAACTTTATTCTCTTCCTGTCCTCTTCATGCACAACCCACCCTCAACCCTTTTATTATTTTCTCCTTTCCATTCCAGCTTTCCAGGGGCCCAAACTATACTGTGTATATGTTGCATAGTGTAGAGAAAGGAACAGAATGCCAGGGTTAACCTTTTTATCCAGTTGTAAAATGGGTCACTCTGAAATTACCCAGTTTCAATGCTTCTTTTCAAGGATTAGGATGAAGTTTTTGCTCAACATAACGGGAAAGAAAGAAAGAAAGAAAGAAAGAAAGAAAGAAAGAAAGAAAGAAAGAAAGAAAGAAAGAAAGAAAGAAAGAAAGAAAGAAGGAAGAAAGGAAGGAAAGAGAGGAGGAGGAGGAGGAGGAGGAGGAGGAGGAGGAGGAGGAGGAGGAGGAATCCATCTAATACTGAGGGAAAAGGAGATGAAAAAGCAGCAGGAATCATGGTAGGGAACAAGTAATTGTAATTTAGGGAAAGAACCTCACTCAAACCATGTTTGCATCTTGACAATTAAGCTAAATAGAGTGTCTTGTAAATTCTTTGCCATTGGTGCAGAAAGCATAAAAATTAAGGAGACCATAGACCAACTTCCTTCCTTCCTTCCTTCCTTCCTTCCTTCCTTCCTTCCTTCCTTCCTTCCTTCCTTCCTTCCTTCCTTCCTTCCTTCCTTCCTTGTGAAATTTGATACCTTCAAACGGATTCAGACAATGGAACCAAATCTATTCTGTGTGGTCTACATAAAAGAGAAACCTCAGTTTTCTAGGCTTTCAGACAAATCGTTTGCAATCGTTTTGCATGTTCCAACAGAAGAGAATATTGTAGAACAGAATTGAACGATGGAGTCCTTGGTCCTTTCTTGGCTTCATTGTTTGTTTGTAGATGTTTCATTACACAACTAAGTAACATCATCAGTATGGGTGGGTATGGCTTTTGTTCTCTGTTTATTTACAGTAGTTTAATCTTTTGAATCTGTATCCTTGGTCTTCACCTTGATGTATATGCAATACATATATCTTTATCCTTGATCCTCGTTGGTGATTAAATGTTTTCTCTTTAGCAATCTCGCTTCTATTTATTACTAGATCATGTACCAATTTCTTTCTTTCTGTTAAGTATCAGAATTTTTTTTTAAAGAGGGGAGCAGGAGCAAATATTTTAAAAGATAAACAGGCAACATGTTTTATTCCATCTTTATGCAAACAAAATCATCTACTATCTGTGGGTTTCTTTCTCCTTGTGACATCCAGTCACTGCAATTAATTAGCCTTTTGTGAGATCAATGCTCGGTTGCAACTGATAATTTTTCACTGTAAAACCCTGACCTTTGTAACCCCTTTTACAAACAACACAATAACCCTTAAACAGCTTATCACGTTAGTGTAGCAATCTATTAAAACCCCAAATGTGTCAGACAGCCTCAGTCGTATAAGGCAGACACATTTTCAAATCGAGAATGAAAATATTTGGATCTGATTACAGAAGCCAAATGTAAGCTGCGTATATTTGCTCTGAGCACAAGAACTACAAATGGGCTTCTGTCTTCCATCTTTACACAAAATACCCAAAGAGAGCTCCAAAGAATGTGAAATATTGGTAAGATTTGGAGGCAGATCTTCTTCTCCTCTTTTACTGTTTATGTTTAAACAGTACGTCTTTGTTTTTTACAGCTTTCACATTCATTGCAGATTCAGTTCTTACAATTAGATAGGTATACATCTAGAAGAAATCTAAATAATATTGATGGTAAGGTTCTTGAGAAGCACTCCATAGGTGGATAAAATTGCCAAATCCAGTCTGAACATCTGATTGGAAAAGGCCATGGGGCTGTTGTTGTTGTTAGTCGCCAAGTTGTGTCCAACCCATCGTGACCCCATGGACATCATTCCTCCAGGCCTTCTTGTCCTCTACCATCCCCCAGAGTCCATTTAAGCTCACGCCAACTGCTTCAGTGACTCCATCCAACCACCTCATTCTCTGCCATCCCCTTCTTCTTCTTTTGCCCTCCATTGTTCCCAGCATTAGGCTCTTCTCCAGGGAGTCCTTCCTTCCCATTAAGTGGCCAAAGTCTTTGAGTTTCATCTTCAGGATCTTCTAAAAAGCAGCCAGGATTGGTCTCCTCTAGGACTGACCAGTTTGATTGCCTTGCAGTCCAAGGGACTCACAAGAATCTTCTCCAGCACCAGAATCCAAAGGCCTCCATTCTTTGGCGCACAGCCTTTCTTATGGTCCAACTTTCACAGCCATACATTGCAACTTGGATAACCCACAGCCTTGACTCTATGCACTTTGGTTGGCAGGGTGATATTTCTGCTTTTTAGTATGCTGTCTAGATTTGCCATAGCTTTCCTCCCCAGGAGCAAGCGTCTTTTAATTTCTTGGCTGTAGTGCCCATCTGCGGTGATCTTGGAGCCCAGGAAAATAAAATCTGTCACTACCTCTATTTCTGCCCTAGGACTGTATACAAGCTTAAATGCTATTATCATTTCTATTGCTATTGATAAAGTTGAGAGGTTTTTTTCAACAATGCAATGTTTGTTTGCTTTTTGCCTTATTTCCACTTATACAGATCATATTTTTAAGCTTCGATATAGGAATTGAATCATTTTTTAAAAAAAATATTCATTTATATAAGAAAGGGTTTTTTCATATTATTTTTTAATTATTATTTTTTTGCAAAATCCTTGATTTTATGCCAAAGTGCCTGTTCAAGAGGCCACTGGACTTTCTGGTTTTTCTTTGAAGACATTTCGCTTCTCATCCAAGAAGCTTCTTCAGCTCTGACTAGAAGGCGGCAAATGGAAGGATGGATACTCCTTGCAGTCAGCTGGATGTTTGCATTCTTTTAGCAAGTCATTAAAGTCACCTGGATGACTTGCCTTGAATGACTCACTAAAGGAAAGCAAATGACCAGCTGTCTGCAAGGAGTATCAATCCTTCCATTCCTCACCATTCAGTCAGAGCTGAAGAAGCTTCTTGAATGAGAAGCAAAACAAGAAAAGCAGAAAGTCCAATTGCCTCTTGAAAAAGCACCTTTGGGACAACCAGGACATGGATGACTGAGAACCTCCGTACACCTTGATTTTATGTCACAAAAAAGAATGGCTGCTGAACTTTAGGATAAGATATATCACATCATGCATATCATTTGTCTTCAAATATCTGGATCTTCTTTTACTTTCTTACTCACTCAGGTAATGTTATATAAAGATCTATATCTGATGTAATGCTGTAGTGCTCGTGGCCAATATAATAAGCATTTTTCACTAGCTTATTTTACTGGTCTCTTTATTAGCCTGTCATTAGAACCAATGGAGCTATTATTCAGCTATTATGAATGACATCAGGAAAAACATCTGGTTTGGAATTCATTTTCCCTTATATAGCATAATAGCTCAATACCCGTGCTTCGCTATGAAACTATGTGGTCAGGCTTAATTTGGGGGGAGAAAAATAAGGAAAAAGAAATTGTGCCTCTGCCTCCATTGTGCACATTGTGCCTGTGCCTCTGCCTCTGCCTCTACCAGCATCCATTGATATTCATCTGGTTAGCGTCCTGTCAGTCTGTGAGAGTTGAGGGCTGTTTGGAAACTAAAACATTGAAACTGAAGCAGTATTTGCTATATGAGCAAGAAGGAGACAGCAAGGAGCCTGGGCGTGGCTTAGCTCAACTGTTCTGTACTAAAGCTGCTTGGTGCTATGAAACCGAAACTGAAAGTCCTCTCCTCTGTCTTTTGCATTTGGAAGAGATTTCTTTTCAAGTGGAGAGGAGGAGTGGAACTCCTTAGCATCAGAGCATGTTAATAATAATATACAAAATACTGATACTCTGATGGTCATTTTAAAAAACAAACACTTTCTTAGTGAGCACCTAGAAGCCAAGAGGAACATACGTGCCAAATTTCAAGTTTGTAGGCTTTACAGTTCTGGAGATTTTGTGATGATGCCTGAGTGGTATTTTGCTTTTATATAGTGTTATAATAAATCTGGAATATTTTGTGACGAAGAACATCTGATAGGCAACGAAAGGTCAATAAATTTTGTTTTGTTATTTGAAAACTGAAACTTAAATAGCATTTTGATGCTTTTCTTTTTGGGTTAGGGAACGATCTTAGAAAAATCTAAATGCCAGCCCGCTGGAGTTTCTTGGCATTTCCATGTATATAATACCAGCAAAAGTATTTGTGCACAAGCAATTGTAGCTTTTAATTATTTTAATTATTATTTTAGTTATTCCATGTCTGAAGGGAATCTCCACGAATCTATAAAACAAAAGAAAAAGAGGACAAAACAAGGAGCCTCTTTGCTAAAGCACAGAGGAATCCCTCCACGCCCAGTTTTGATACTTCCAAGCATAAAATATTTACTTAAACATACAGGATAAGCCAGGAAGTATTGTGATAATCTACAGTTATTTGTTTGATAGCTGTCACAGTGGTTTTTTTTTTATTATTATTATTTTCAAATCAAATATAAAAATGCAGGGAAAGAAAGGAAATTGTTTTTATAACAACATTACCACCTTCTTCTATCCAATTCAAGATGACTGGTCACATTTTTCCATCAGGATATGGTTCTGCTTAATTTATATCTATTTGGTATTTTCACAAATACTAATGATGAGAAGGGCTCACACAGTAGAGTCTACAAATACCATATTTACTTTGTAATCCCCTTTTGGTCTTTGCATCTGCATAGGAAGTGCGACCCTGTTGGTTCTCCTTGACTTCTCAACAACTTTAATTACCATGGACAATGAAAGATTTGGGAATGGGGAAGATTTGCAGTGATTTCATTTCAGTCTCTAAGTGTCACCTTGGGGCAGTTTCTTGAAGGAGGACTTATTATAGGCTATCGTCAGGACTCCATTCTATTCTTCATTCTCTGCCTCCTTTTAGATCAACCGTCGCGTAATAAACAACAACCCAGTCAAGGAACTACCAACTCAGAATGCTCCAAGGAGCTTCTGATCCAGTTTTAAAGAGGAATTGTTGAGTCTGTCTTCTGCACCTCTATAACTGTCTGGTTTGGTTCTGCCATCCAACAGGACAGACACAGAGGATAATTAGGACTGCAGAAAAGACAATGACTACCCACCTGCCTTCAATCGAGGACCTGTATACTGCATGAGTCAAAAAGAGGGCTGTGAAAATATCTACAGACCCCTCACACCCTGGACACAAACTGTTTCAACTCCTACCCTCAAAACGATGCTATGGAGCACTGCACACCAGAACAATTAGACACAAGAACAGATTTTTCCCGAATGCCATCACTGTGCTAAAAAATAATTCCCTCAACACTGTCAAACTAATTACTAAGTCTGCATTACTATTACTATTAATCCTCCCATCCTTCCTTTCACCCATCTCCTCCCACTTATGACTGTATGACTGTAACCTTGTTGTTTGTAGCCTAACGATTTTTATTGACTGTTTCCTAGTATGATTTGATCGCTTATTTGTACCCTATGATAATCATTAAGTGTTGTACCTTATGATTCTCGACAGGTGTATCTTTTCTTTTATCTCCACTGAGAGCATTCGCACAAAGACAAATTCCTTGTGTGTCCAATCACACTTGGTCAATAAAGAATTCTATTCTATTCTATTCCTTCCCATATTTGGGTAGACCAGGTTGCCCTGATAGGAAAAAAAAACCACTTAATCTTTGCCCTGGTACAACTGACAAAGCGAGGAGAACCTGTGTCTTAGAGGTTAATACGTCTACCTAATATGCAAGCAGGCCAGGTTCAAATCCCAGAAGGGAATGGCTATCTCATGATAGCTTAAATAGCTTGAAATAGATCTATACTAGTCTCCCTTTATTTCTTTGTCAGTAAATATAAATTTAACACAAAATAGTTTGTTGTGAAAGCAACTGCCTGCGAAGGCTCCTGGACTGGGGCTGAAAGGCAAAAGGGAAGCAGTATCTCCTTCCAATATTTGGGTAGACCAGGTTGCCCTGATAGGAAAAAAAAAAGCACTTAACAACTCAGAAGAACCACATAGAGTTACTTTTGTATCTAGTTTAAAAACTTCAATGAGTACCTGACATGGCATCCATGCTGTCTTCAGGAAACAGCAGATGAGGTTGTATTACACAGGTTTGCCAACTGTTTGCCAACATAGAATAACAGAATAAGGGAGGGATCTTGGAAGTCTTCTAATCCAAGCAGGAGACTCTATACCATTTCAGACAAGTAGCTGTCAAAACTTTTCTTAAAAATCTCCAGTGTTTTATCACCCACAACTCCTGGAGGCAAACAATTCCTCCATAATTGTTCTAACTGTCCGGAAACTTCTCCTTAGTTTTAGGTTGCTTGTCTCCTTCATTAGATTCCATCAATTACTTCTGATTTTGCCTTCAGGTACTCTGGAGAATATGTTGACCCTCTTTTCTTTGGCATGGCCCCTTAGATATTGGAACACTGTTATCATGTTATGTCATACAATTTTTCTGTGAGCGCTGGCATTACATTGTAAGCAGGGGTGGGATTCAAACTTTTTAACAACCGGTTCTGTGGGCGTGGCTTAGTTGGTGGGCGTGGCTTAGTGGTCATGTTATTGGCTGGGTGTGGCCAACTCAATATCACTCACATCTAGGCACGCATCTCCTCGCCTGGCCTCTCAAGACTGTGGGGATGCTGCAACAGTCGTAAGTGTGAAAAATGGTCATAAGTCACTTTTTTCAGTGCCATTATAACTTTGAATTGTCACTCCACACAAGCAACGTACCAGCAAAGGAGGGAAAAAAAACTCCAGAGAAGTTCCAGAGACAGGAAGTCTAGTCCTGCTGAGAATGTAATAAGGGTTAACGGAGAGGCAGTTTCTGTAAGCAACACCAGAATGTTTCCTTCCTGCCTTCCTTACAGGATTAAGCCAGAAATTTCTTCTAACAACTGGTTCTCTGAACTGCTTAGAATGTTAACAACCGGTTCTAGCGAATAGGTGTGAACTGGTAGAATCCCACCCCTGATTATAAGTCTTATATAGCTTCGATGCAAGCAATTCATGAGAATGCCTCCCTTCTATGTGAACTTTCACACTTACTGAGATAAAAGAAGGAAAGTAGTCTGTCATTGACATGAGTTAATCTAACAGCAGTTCGGGATTAAGATTTCTCTGTTGCTCTTCCATTGTTTGGAATGCACTTCCTAGAGACTTGGAAATGGAGATATCACTTCTTTTTTTAAAAAAGGACTTTAAAAAAGAACCTCAAAAACAATTTGTTTCCTTTAAATAAGAGAAAACTAGTTTGTTTTCACAAAGTTTCATTAAAGCCTACTAACTTCTAAAGAATGGGGATGAGGAAAATTGCCATTACATATATATGGAGTTTACCATCTCAATTTTTGATTCTCTCATTGTTAGATGGTTGTAAAAAGAAAGGATAATGTAAGCAAGAATATGCTTCCTTCCTTCCCTCCCTCCCTCCCTCCCTGCCTTTGCAAAATATGACACATATACAAATGTGTTTCTCTTGATAAATTCTGAGATTCTTTTGTGGTATTGTTTGGAATTATGCTCAAATAAACCATTCCGGATATATCTCTGTATTTTAATGGGTTTAGGACATTTTGAAGGTAAATATATATTCTATTATTGTCTGCTGTATAAATTCCAGGAGAGATATAGCCACTTCGCTATGCTTTTAAAGTATCACAATAGGTGATATATGTACTTTTAATTCAGAAATTTTATCTGGACCATTATCTGTGCATTACAAGCTATGCTTTTGCCATTTTTCTTTAATCCATTTTTTTACTAACGTTTACAATACAGGTTTCAGGTTTTTGTTAGAGTAATGTTGTTTATCTAAGAAGTGCTGCTGTTTTGGCCTATGGATGAATCTATTACAGCACAGGATGACAATTTATTTGCTTGGGACTTCACTGGTTATCATTCCCAGGTCTGACAACGATGACAAAATTGTGGAAATTATAGCCTAAAATATCAGAAATTGAGATTCTCAATTGGGTAGAATTAAGTCACCTAGAATTACTTGGTTGAGTTGGATGGCTATGGAAATTAAATACAAAGATACATACATACATACATACATACATACATACATACATACATACATACATACATACATAAAAATGGTTTTGTACTAGTTGTTTCTGCTTTTTGAAATTTTCTTTTATCTGTTATAGCCTAAATTATCCCATGGTTTGTAAATGCATGGAGTTTACCCCTGAAGACTCATAAGAAAACCCACCTCTGGAACACAGTATTTTGGGAACAACACACCCCTGGCAGAAAAATTATGCATATTATGCTTTTATTCTATTCATTTATGTATTTATTTATTAAATTTGCATGTTGCTCATCTCTCTGCCAAGCAAATCTGAGTGGCTTGCCATAACATAAATAACAATAAATCAATTATAGGATTAAAACATTAAAGCATCAGATATTGAAAGCTAAAATTAATATTAAAATGGATAAAAAAAAACATCCAGTGCATATAGACTGGGTGAGGGTGAGATCTTGTACTAATTTAGTAGCCAACTCCAAATAGAAGCAAGGAGGCTTGAGTTGTTGGAACGCTGGGCAGGAGGTAGCAATCCCACGTTTGAGACCTGAGAGCTGCTGTGAGGTTGAGTTCTGGTCCTTCCCTCCAGCTCCTACCAAGGTCATGAAAGGACCCCACAACTGAGTGTCTCCAGGGCAACAGTGATGTCACCAGCTAATCCTTTCAACTCGGTACTTCTGACATGAGTGCAAAAGCCAACTTCGAAGTGGGACCACCCCCATTGAGGAGCAAGCTATTCCAAAGGACAGGAGCCAGGTCTTCTTCTGGACTCCGCCAGCAGGCTTCTGTATAGTGTTCATCTGTGAGTCAGGCTTTTACAGTGGTTTCAGATTTAAATTTGGGGCAGCCTATTGCTGTGCCAGAATGGTTTTTTCTTCATCCTGATTGGTTGAGAGTTTTGGTCTGTGTTTATTGGTCTTGGAGTTTTCTGTGTTCTGCTTGATTGGTGTTTCTAATATCTTCTGTCTGTTTTTTGGCTCTTTTTGTATCTTGATTGGCTGGCAACATTGTGTTATTTTATTGGAGGCCTTTAGTGCAGCTTGGCTCTGGGTAAATGGACGGCTATCATTAGTTAGGAAGCTAGGTTTCATCTGGGTGCCTGGTTGGGGTGTGTTTGAGCTGGAGGTATCAGGGGGGATTTGTTTGTGCCAAGGTGTTTGCCTGGCTTGTGGTGTGGAGATTTTTTTTGTTTGTGAGTGCAGGCTTCCAAATGATTGACAGCCTGGTGGAATCATCTCTTCTGTTCATGCTTTCTGGTCTTTTTTCAATCTCTATGGCTTCTCTGATGATTCTGTGGCTAGGGTTTTCTATAGTGGCTAGGGTTTTGGTGCCATTGAAGTTGATGCTATGACCTGTGGCTTCCATGTGTTGGACTAGTGAGGAAGTGTGTTCCAGCTTTTTGACTGCATTTCTGTGTTCATCCAGGCAGGTACTTATTCTTCTATTGGTCTGTCCAATGTATGTGGCCGGGCATGATGCACAGGGGACTTCGTATATGCCTTGGTTTTCCAGGTCAATTTTATCTTTGGGGTTGCTAAGGATGGCTGCTATTTTTCTGTCTGTTTTGAAGGCAGTCTTGATGTGATGTCTGTGTAGTATCTTACTAATTTTGTCTGTAGTACCTCTTATGTAGGGCAGGACAGCTGTTCCATAGGTCTGTTCATCTTCTGGGTCTCTATTATGTCTCAGTGTGTTTTTATGGATCAAGCCGATGATTTTGCTTTTGTGGAAGCCGTTGGCTGTCAGTACGTTGGTCAGGGTGCATAGTTCAGTCTTAATGTGTGTCTTGTCTGCCAGGCGTTTGGTTCTAGTAATTAGTGTTTTAGCCACGGAGTTTATCTGTGCTGGGTGGTGGTGGGATTGGGCGTTGAGGTAGTGGTTAGTATGTGTTTTCTTCTGGTATACGGTGTGTCCTAGTGTGCCATCTGTTTTTTTGTAGATTAGTACAGATATATATATATCTGTGTGTGTGTGTGTGTGTGTGTGTGTGTGTGTGTGTGTGTGTGTGT